TCCTCGAAAGGTTCCGTTTAGCAGTTTTACTACGTGTAAAATTGTACCATAAAAATTCGAAATTGACTTATTGTCTTGATCAGTCTTGTCCATCAACCGTTTAGTAGGCAGTTGCTCCATTTGCTCTGGTCAATGTAGCAGCATCGCCCGATGTAAGCTTACTAACTTTCACTTTGTCTTCTCTGGTTTTGATTATTAAATCATTGAGGGGTTTTTATTTGAATTTTTTAATTTAAATAAAACTTATTTTTACTTTTCCAATAAATTTTCAGGGAGTGGTGGTTCCTCAGCAGCCGCTGGTGATAGCGGAAGTGGTGCAGTGACTGGCAACCAGGTCAGTGCTTCTGGTGACGCTCCTTGCACCCATGGCTGTCAGGATTCTGGTATGTTAAGTAAATTCACTAGCCTTAAATAAATTGAAAAAGACGTCCAAACTTTAACTTTCAGAAGTTATTCCCTCCTTTGACTCATTTATTCGTTTTGATGGTAAATTGGTACTGGCATATGCCAAAGAGTCGAATGCGTCATCAGTTTGCTTCCAAGCAGTTCTTGAAAAAAGGAGCCATCTTCAGTCTTGCCAGCGCGTGGTGCTGTTTTTGGGTATCATTACCTCTCCCAGGAGGTGATTAAACTGCAGGTTTTCGATTTTTGCTTACCGCAAATAATTGTTAATTGGCTGATTATATTATTGGGATGTGTTTCATTAACAGCGATCTTGCGCCATTATTGAGTTTTCAGGACAGTCGAACAATAGAACAGCACGACACAAAAATTCACTGAGCGTGAAATCATCAGAAGGTTTGCAAGTGGTACCGACGCCTTTACATCCAATCGAAGAGATGCCCAGGATGCTTCTCTCCCGTTCACTCATGCCACGGTTGCTTCAGTTATTTTTACCACATATGCACGCATATTTTTTTCATGCTTGTCAGCTAAATGATTTTTTTGCCACACTTCACACTTTTTTAGCGCCCTACGTTTTGTAGGACCTTACTTTGAAACTGGCAACTTTTTCAGTTGCTTTGAATAATGCTGCATCGTCTGGTAGTCAACCTGCTTCAGAAAGTAATGCATAAAAAGCCATCTATTCTTATTTGAAAAAAGAAAATCAAAAAAAGAAAAAAAAATTATGGCCACGAATATCTTCCAGGAACACCTAAGTGTGTTGTCTATAAACTGTTGGTAATTATTATTTCATGGGAAAGAAATCCCAGAAAGTGTAAAAGAAAATAATTTCACGATATATCCCATAGTGGAACCGAATTCATTTTGAGATCGAAGACAGCGGAAGAAGTAATAACCAAATGGGTGGATTTCTCATTTTTGGATTTGGCTGGAACCGGAAAACAGCAGTTCCAGCGTTGCTCAGGAACACCACCCAGACATTTGGAGGTTTTGCCGGAAGAATGCGATTACTGCAACTTTGGCTGTATTCGTTTATTGCGGCGCTCACGCTCATTCCCCAATTTATCCTGCTTCGTCAGCCTCATTCGAGCACCATCTTTCGATTGGGAAGATGATGTGAGTTGTTTTATAAGCTTCTTTTTTTCCCCAAGCATTATAACTGTTTCAAAGGATCAGTAAAAGCGAAAGGTTTGTTGAGGTCTTAAACGCCTTGCAAATCTTTTAATATTCACTCTATGATTCCCCATCTATGCAGTTCGCAAAGTTTTTTTCGCCTTTTCGCGGGACTTCCAAGACAAGACAGTAAATTTTCGATGAGATGAAACTGTTTTTGCTGATGTGCTGTTTTTTTACAGTCTCTACTGGAAGGTGGTTCGTCACTGTGGACAAGCACAGATTCGGGATGTTCATCGGACGGTGATACTGGCGACTCATTGCAACAGAGTGGCGTTGTCGAGAAGCAAAAACTGTTGGAAAGAGCTATCGATTTCGAGGATTGCATTCGTTTTGTTGCAGCGCAATCCTGAGTGATCTCATCCATACACACACACACACACACACACACACACATACACACTCACAGACATTTTCCTCTTTTCAGGTCTTTCTGTGTGTACGCTTGTTTCACACGAAAAAAAAGCAAGCTTATAGTTTCCGCATTTTCTGTTTTGGTTTTTTTTCTCTTTTTTCTTCGTTCATTCTAGACTGAGTTTGCATATCCCATAGTAATTTTCCATTGGTTTGTGGTAGCAAGCTATGAGCAGTGCCCGGACAGAAAGCAGATTTTGTTTAAAATCGCTGCCGTTGTCATCGGCGAGTTTATATTTCCTGAAAAATCTTGCTTAATACTCAACTGCTTGATTTTAGTACCGGTACTACAAGCATTCAAGTTTACTAGTGTGCAGACTTATCAATTCTTCGGATGCTATGTAAAAATTTTTATTCATAGGCCCACCAAAAGCATTTTGAAAAGGTCAGAAAGCAGCATTGTGATAGTGAGGGGCCGAATGATAGTATTTTGGTACCACAGAGCGCATCCTGTGATGTCTTTCATAGTTTCTGCGTGTGCGCAAGACGTAGACATTTTAAGGAATCACTAAATAGCGTATTTCGAGAAGATTTTTTGCCTTAGCCCAATCTTAAGGCTTCATTTCCCGTTGCATTGGTCCTAGTAAATTTATGAAAAAACTAGGGATAAGCTGGTTTTTTGAGTTACAACCATGTAATTTGTGATCTCTCAATAGAGTCGGGAGCTCCACAGTAATAGTCTGATTCAATGGTACTTTTTTGTTCGTAGATTTGGTCTAATTCAGCAGTAGTTTTTTGTGTTCGTAGATTTTGAGGTGCGCTATTTGAGGAATGTTATTATTTTTTTTTCGAGTAATTTAATATATCTGTAATAATGCCTCATTTTTGAGTACAATTTTGTGATTCTTCCGCCTAGCATGAAAAAAAATCCAGTATGTTATTTTCGTGATTTTGATTCATGGTATGCTTTTGCTAATTTATAATTTTTATTGTTCTACTCATACTTTAGGATTTTACAATTTCATTTTCATTTACCTGTTTATTCCAGAAATCGGTGATTTCTGGATTTACAGTGCCTAGCTGATAGGATTTAAGCCGCTTTTTGTGTGGTTTTTTTTTGTTTATACATTTTGATTTTTAGAGCAGTAAAATGTATTCACATTTCACGCATCTGAGATGTACATTTTAGCTACCCGGTACTGCTGGACTAGGCTTTTTTGTCCAGCAAATAAATTTCGGTAGCGGTCTTTCAAAAATTTTGTGTTTTTATAAAAAGAAAAGTTTGTGTTTTTTCAAAATTTCTTCCTTTTTATTTGGAATATCTGAACTTTAGTTGTCCAGTCCTCTGGTGGGCTTATTTTTTTTCACTTGCTTGGTAGTTTATTTCAAAAAAATTCTGTGGAAAAAAGGAAAAATCGTAATGCAATTGCCAAAACTGGCAATTGATGTCTAAAAATTTTGTAAAAAAAAGTAAAAATTGTGAAATTGGTTTTTGCAAACACAATAATAAGACGATTTGTAATTTGTTATACGTTCATATTTATTTGTAAATTTCTTTTTTTTAGTTATTATTGTAATAGATTTTTACATATAGACATTTAATAAATCTTTCGATGGTCATCATCTTTTAAAATTGATCGGTCATACTCAATCAGATAGCGGTAATTGCACAGAGTTACTTCGATCAGCTGTTTTTCTTCCCGTGCATGGCTTCTGTTCGCGCACCACCAAAGCATCTTAAAAATTCCCGGTGGCCACTATTTAGCTCC